AACTGCAACAAAAAAATAGCTGAGTGTTGTGGCGGGCACCAATAGTCCCAGATATTTGGGAGGCTAAGGCAAGAGAATCACTTAAGTCCCAGAGTTTAAGGTTGCTGTGAGCTGTGACGTCATGGCACTCTACCCAGGGCAACAGCTTGAGACTCTTGTCTCAGAAAAAAAAAAAAGAAACTATCTCAGCCTGGAATTTCCTCTTCTGAAGATTTTAGCTATAAATTAAACTGCTTTAATAGTTACAGTACCATTTAGGTTGCTTATTTATTTAGGTGAGTCTTGGTAATTTGTAGATTTTGAGGAATTGGTCCTTTTGCCAAATTTATGTTAGTATTCAAGTATTCCCTTTTCCTTTGTTTTCCTCCTCAGAGACAGTCTTTCTATTGTTGCCCAGGGTGGTCTTGAACTCCTGGAATCAAGCAATCCTCCTGCCTCAGCCTGATGAGTAGCTAGGACCCTTATTCTTTTATTTTGAACTGAACAAAAATGAATATTTGTAGGATGCAATTAAAGCAGTATTTAGAGAAATGTGTAGCATTAGATGCTTATATAAGGAAGAAAGATTTCAAATCAATAATTTAAGCTTCCACTGTAATAAAGGAGAAAATGAAGAACAAAACAAACTCAAAGAAGGAAATAATAAAGTGCAGAAATAAATAAAATTGAAAAGAGATAATAGAGAAAATGAAACCAAAAGCTTATTTTTTGAATAAAACTACTGAGATTAGTAAACCTATAGTTGGACTGATAAAGAGAAAAGACACATTACCAATAGTATAAATGACATCACTACAGAATCCACTGCTGCTAAGAGAACAACTGAATATGATGAACAACTCTGTGGCTATAAATTTGGCAACTTAGATGAAATGGACAAATTCCTTAAAGGGCTCCAAGTACCAAAACTCACTCAAGATGAAATAGGTAACCTGAACGCTCCTATATCTACGCAAGAAATCATATTCATGGAAGAAACAAGAGTGTGGTGTGAGCATGGGGAAGCAAAAGAAAACAAGGAAGTATGCAACCATGAAGCGAATGCTTAGTCTCAGGGATCAGAGGCTTAAAGAAAAGGATAGATTGAAACCTAAAAAGAAAGAAAAGAAAGATCCCAGCACATTAAAGGAAACAGAAGCCCCCCAGCACCCTTCATGCTTATTTTTTTTAAAAGGTGTTTATTTATTTATTTATTTATTGGCCATGGCTGGGTTTGAACCCAGCACCTTTGGTATATGGGGCCAGCGCCCTACTCCTTGAGCCACATCCCTTCATGCTTATTCTTCCAATATAAATATACAATTGGGCCAGCCTGACCACATCTTGGTTGATACCAACTTTTCCATTAAAGCCAAACTGGACTTAATTCAGTCAGTGATGGACTGTCTGTGTGCCAAGTGCATTCCTTGTATAACTGATAGTGTAATGGCTAAAATTGAGAAATTGGGGCAGAAGTATCAAGTGACCCTTGGGATTGCCAAGGATCCAGATATGAATGATTACCATGCACACACAAAGGAACCTATGCAGATGACTGCTTAGTACAGAGAGTGACTCAGCACAAGTGTTACATTGTGGCCACAGTTGACCCAGACTTACATGGTGGCCACAGTTGACCCAGACTTACATGGTGGCCACAGTTGACCCAGACCTTAAAGGAAGGATCCAGAAAATCCCTGGCGTTCCTATCATGTATATTTCTAACCACAGATACAATACTGAATGGATGCCAGATGATTATGGAGCCCCTTGGTTCTAATTCTTATAACAGTGTTCCTGTGCCTTTCTTCAACCAACTTTCTCTGTTAACAGTTTGTTAAACATGAAATACCATGAATCATTACTCTGTTCACCAGCTTGCTTTATTATGACCTGGAGGATGTAGGTTAAATACACTCACGTTTGGATGCTATTTTGAAAATGACATTTTATCTCATTGATGGTCAAAGATGCAAAATCTTACAAAGAATGCCTTATGTTTTTTGAGTTCTGTTGCACAATGTGGTAATTATAGTTAATATTAGAGCAATATACATTTCAAAATTGCTTAGAGTAAATTTCAAATGTTCTTAGCACAAAAATGTTAAGTATTTGAGGTGATGGATATATTGACTAGTTTGATTTAATTATTCCACACTGTGTTCATAGATTATAACATCACTGTGTACTCCCTAAGTTTATACAATTATACACTGTTGGCTTACAATAAAAATAAAATTGTTGCGTCTTTTTGTAAAAAAAAAAGAAAGAAAGAAAGAAAGAAATCATATTCATAGATACAAAACTCCAAAGAAAACTCCGCCCAGATTGTTCCAAAGGAGAACACCACGCAATCTCTTCTGGAAAACAGAAGAGGGAAAAACACTTCCATACTCATTTTATGTGGCCAAGGTTATTCTGACACTCAGGCAAAATTTAAAGTAGACTCAGATAAATATGGTTATAAAGCTACAGTAATAAATAAAGTGTAGTACTAGCAGAAAGACAGACACATAGACCAATAGACCAACTGGATAAAAAGGAGAGCCCAGAAATAAACCCTCATATATGTAAGGCTAAAGATTTCCTATAAGAAAAGAATGTCAAAATCATTCAATGGGAAAAGACAGTCTTTTTAAATGGTGCTGCAGGCTGGGCGTGGTGGCTCATGCCTGTAATCCTAGCACTCTGGGAGGCTGAGGCTGGTGGATCTCATAAACTCAGGAATTTGAGACCAGCCTGAGCAAAGCAAGACCTTGTCTCTACTAAAAATAGAAAAACTAGCCAGGTGTTGTAGTGGGCACCTGTTGTCCCAGCTACTCAGGAGGCTGAGACAAGAGGATTGTTTGAGTTGAAGAGTTTGAGGTTGTAGTGAGCTATGATGCCAGGGCATTCTACTCAGGAGGAAAGGGTCAGACTCTGTCTCAAAACTCAAACTATACAAATAATTCTAAGAAGAAAATATAGAGGAAAAGCCTCATGACATTGGATTTGGCAATGATTTCTTAGGTATGACACAAAAGGCATAGGCAACAAAAGAAAAATGTAGACAAACTGGATTTCATGTAATCAAAAATGTTTGTCGGCTCCGCGCCTATAGCTCAAGCGGCTAAGGCACCAGCCACATACACCAGAGCTCACGGGTTTGAATCCAGCCTGGGCCTGCCAAACAATGACAACTATAATCAAAAAATAGGCAGGCATTGTGGCAGGTGCCTGTAGTCCCATCTATTTGGGAGGCTGAGGCAAGAGAATCGGTTAAGCCCAGGAGTTGGAGGTTGCTGTGAGCTGTGA